GCGACTTCCTTTTCACGTTTCCAGTGCCCACAAAGAGGAGGCCTCGGTTTCACGTAAGACGGCTGTTACCACACAATTCTGTGGCAGAGGAGGACTCATCTCCCGTACTCCGGAATCGGCCCGAGGTGCGCTTGATCTCTCATATTCAGGGTTCAGTTTCCTGTAAAATACATGACTTTAGAATGAAATCAACAGAGTGGAATCAAATTCTTTGGAACAGTCGTTTCAAGTAGTGAGACCGACTAGAAAAGGGAAGCTCTCCATCAAGGTGAATCTTTCCTCTTGATTTATGCTAACACTTTCCAATCTCCAGTCGCGCATTCCAGGCCATACAAGGACCGTTTGTATGGGACACGTACTCGAATACCGGAGGGAAACCTTACCATCGGCGTGACCCAACCAACAAGGTAATGTTCTATAATATATCTAACAAATACGTAATCAAATGACAGGCTGTCTTGATCGATCCATTTGTCAAGTTGCGCCATGCATTTGACTTCCGGCCGCAACTGTAGTGGCTTTTGAATGCGACCCGACTCCTACAATACCTTGCGAAGCAGTGGATTTACACCTCAGAGCTTTATCCTACCAAATCCTTTGTTTAGCGGGCCTGAAGAGATGAAGGTCGCAGAAGACCGAAGCTCCGGAATTAGGCCCCACGCCAGCACAGGCTTATGGACGCATGCTTGGCCGGAACCTGTGAAGGCTGAACGGTAAAAAAAGTTGCACCTACAAAACTGTTCCGCGATAACTCCGAAGTGCAATTGCAGAACTGATTTTTTGAATTGCATCGTTTCCACTGTGGGATTCCGCTTACCGCATTGCAAACGATCCTTCTTGACTGGAATTAGTACATCCTTTTCAAAAAAGCGTGGGAAGCTAAAGGGTGGAGCTGCCAGCCGGGTACTGTATACATCCTGAACTTATAATTTTATGTGCTCCTCTTCTTTTTGGCCTCACTTTCCATCACGAGATTGTATGGCCCCCTCTGGCTACGAAAAAACGGGGTCCATTAGAAACTAAATAAGATCTACCTTTCCACCTTCCCCTCAAGGGAACTTTCGAACTTATATGATATTGTTTTACTCCGTCTTCTGTTATAGCGCCTAATGTAATGATTCAGGTTCGCGGACCTATTCCTCTGACATCGCTCGTCGCGGAAGACAGCAACGACGACGGAGGGGAGGAGAACGAAATCCTGCTCGATTTAAGAGACCCGGAAAAAAGCGACCATGATATTCCCAGAACCTCTTACGACGAAGCATCCGCTCTCCGATCCAGGGTCAGAAGTTCACGAACCAGAAGACATTCACTCTTACAACAGCTGGAAGGATAAGCACACGGAGGTCCGCGCACGTGCAGCACGCAACGACTGCGGCCGAAATCGCACAGGAGATTACACGGATAGAAACGAAAAGAAGGCTTAGCTCTTCTACTTCACATGAACTGCAGGAGATATTGGATAGATTCTACGGCACGTCAACAGTCACACCCAGAAGGATCACAATCACAAATCGAATAAAAGATATCGAGTCAGTCACTCAATCTCAATCTCCTGGACCATTATCGCCTCCGCCCGGTCATTTCGCCCACCACATTTCGTCTTATCCGGCGAACAATACCGTAGAAGACAAGCCCATAACAAGGAGCTCACCGATTGTACCGTATACAAAAGGAAGACCGTATATCAAAAGGAAGACCGGTTTTCACAACAGGAGATGGGCTTTCAACGATGCCACCTACAACTTCTGAAGTGGTACCTCCCACAGAAAAAGGAAATACGGTGCTGCCCACTACTCTCCCAGAAGAATTAACGTTCCCATACACAGAAGAAAAAGCCCCAAACACTGTCTACCACGCCTTTGAAGCCGGGTAACTAACAACGAAGGTAACAGCGGAACGACTCTACTGCTTCTGAAAGAGGTTACCTTAGTAGAGCCTTAACGAGCATACACGTACTGGCTTTCACAGCTTCTGAAAGAAGGTTTCTACAACCAGAATTTGAGCACATCACGTTGCCTAGTACTACTGAAAAGGTGTCTACAGCTCCTGTTACCACAGCAGAAGAACATACGGTGGTGCCTACCACTTCTGAAGAGGTAGCAACCACGGAGGAAGAGCAGACAACGCGGCCTTCAATGTCTGAAGGAGGTAGCTACAACAGAACTAGAGCACACAACGTTAGCTAGTGCTTCTGAAGAGGTGGCTACGATTCTGGTAGAGGTAGATGCCAAGGAGGAAGAGCATACGGTGCTGCCTACTACTTCAGCAGAAGTGGCTACCGTTCCTGAGGAGATAAGTACCACAAGAGAACACACGATGTCGCCAACCTTTTCTGAAGAGGTGGCAACCACAGAAGAAGAGCGGACACTGTCACGTGACCGCCCCAGTGTCGGGTCGTGGTCCACAGGCCTTCGATTTCTGAAGAGGTAGCCACTACAGAATTGGAACCTACAATTCAGCCAGCAACTTCCGAAGAGGTAGCCACAACACAGTATGTCCCACAGCAACAGCCTACAGTAGATGACACAGCAACGTTAGTTATAACCCCCGAAAAGTCGTCTGGGATGAAAGTGGAATATTCGGCTAAGGCTAAACGCTGTATACAAGAGACATCTGCCAACACAATGGCAGCGACGCCGTCTCCGACAACGCCAGCCACCACAGCAACGACGCCGATAACAACAACAACAACAACAACAACAACAACAACAACGACAACGACAACAACAACAGCAGCAACAACTAAAAGGACCACACCAACCATCAACTACTACCACCACACCCGAAACGAAGCCAGTACAATACATCCTGGCGAGGCATCAGAAGTAACCCTGCCCACTACTAAAACAACCTCTGAAATCAACGAGCCAATTGGTCTCAAAAGAAGATACCATGCATCAGCGGCAAGAAGAGAGTTGGCTAAGCAAGATCCCTTCATGATAGAAGATGTGAGTATTTGATGTAACTAGCGCCTTCTATGAGCGCCTCGGTTTCTTTTTCTAAAAATGTCATAGTATTCTTGAAATTAACATGAGGATTGGAAGCCTACGTCCCACCTTGTATGAGGATATCTCTCAGCCTGCTCGCGCTGTAATGCGCTGTACAGCGCGGCGACGCGCTTAAACGCACTTGTAGCTCGCTGTACAGCGCTACGACTATAAGGGTGGGTAGGCATCTCCGACCAACTATGAAAAATGGTGGTCTGATAGTGCACGTAAATTGCGGGTGATGTACAGTGGGCGTGTAAGTGGAACAATAACCATTAATCTGGCTATGACATACCCAGCAAACTTCCGCCAAATCGTCAACTAAAGCTTCCACTCTTGAATTTACTCCTCCTCTCTTTTCCTGCTTGTTTTCTTCACCTACGCTAAGACCACGGTTCATGAGGACCACTAGCATTCCAGGACACTCCTCTCCCAATTCCTATTCCTCGAACATCTCAAAGCGTCTCATTGCCGTCCAAGTCAGCATTACCGACCGTCACTGATATCAAGAAACCTGTGTTACTCGTGAGTTTTTTTTTATTAGATCAGGAGTTGCTCCACTTGACTCGAGGCACAAAGTAATCGTTGAGCACGAAAACAGTGACCTGTATGACATGCTCCAATCCAACGCGTGAATTGTTCAGTGCTCAACTCTTTAGGCTGCTTTCATGCTTTGCGGCAGAGTTCACCAGCGAGCAGCAGCGTCCACCACTGACCACTAGCGTTCCGAGCGTCCGGCAGCGTCAGCGACTGGGAAAGTATAGATATCGATCTAGAGAGTCTACCAGCGACCAGCAGCGTCCACCAGCGTCCACCGTATCTCGAAGGACCGGAAAGTACGAATATCGATCTAGCGCCTGTCAGCGTCTACGAATGTCCACCAGCAGACTGCTGTTGGAGAGTATGGGGTGATAGGAGGGTAGCAGACCGATGGTACCCTCCTATCGCTTCATACTCTACCAGCTGTCTGCTAATCTGCTATCTCCTGCTGCCCCATACTCTCCACTCCTGACGCTGTGGTCGCTGGTGGACCCTTGTGGACGCTGCTGGACGCTGGTCGACGCTGCCCTTCGCTAGGTCGGTATCTATACTTTCCCAGCCGCTGACGCCACTCTTGGAACGCTAGTGGTCGCTGGTGAAATCGTGAAGTATGAACGCAGCCTTACTCTCTAACTTTTGCTTCTGAATTGCACCATTTTCCATCAGTCAGTTGATTGTCTTGCATCACGCTGCAGCTCAAGAGAATGTTTTTCAGAAAGTGTCAGGAGCTGATCCATTCGCCTCATATAACAGAGATCTGAGAAGAAAGTCCCTCTTCGACGATGTCGATCAGAGCCTGATGGTAATTCTAAAATATGACCATTGTCATGAAATAGTAGGTGCCGTATTGAAGCTGAAAAGCAAGCATGACACAGCGCTAGCTATTCACTTAATGCTAAATAAGTTCACACATGCTAAGCCACAATAACAGAAAGCATACGGTCTTGTTCGCTGCGTTGATGGGGCTTGTCGTCATCCGGCTGCGTTTGGCACACCGCCGATCCGTCCTCCACCAGGCTGAAGAGGGTAAGTGAATGCGGACAGGTGGAAATGGTCAGATACGAGCGATAGGAAACAATGCTGCCGCTGGCCGAAAGAAAAAAAAGGAAAAAAGGGGTTGTCGCGAAGCTAAATGCATCGCACTAACCCACCCCATTCATCAACTAGCCGAGGCGACATGTTTTTCTGAATTGGCCTTGGTACTCGGTCTAAAATACTAACAGGGGTGCTATATAGTGGGGAAAATGGCGAAAAAACGGAGTGAAACGGTTTTAAACTGCGAAGAGAAAGAAGCCTTACTTATTGTCGGCTCAGAAAGCCGAAAATCTTTCGGACGATTTCCCGTTATAACACCGTGCCAAACGCGCTACGGGCGATATACTGCCTGCATGTGTGTACTTATATGTGCCGTGCAAGCCATCACCCGGGGCCGCTTCAACCAATCCCTTCGATTCATATTTTCTACTGCAAATGAAGCATATACAAGCACAAGGAGCGGCTTCGTCCATTTGTGGGCGGGGCGGGCGGGCGTGGGGGCGTTTGGGTCGGTATGGTGTAGCTTGATAGGGCCCTAAAGAGGTACGTCCTTTGAAAAGGCGCCACGCAGCACCTGTCCAGGGCGCAGAATTTCGTCCTGCCAGGCGTATTAATCCTACTCTTCTGAGAGACTTATCGTGCCAACTGCCTTTAAGCCCCTTATATTGAACAAATTCCAACAGTGAGTATTTCAGAATGCAGTCGAACTTCAATCGACCTATCCACCGAAACTCGTCTTGGCCCGTTCGAATTTCAGTGGTGCTTATGGGAATTACAATGGTGTTGCTCCTCATACCAATACCGGTGCTAGTCACGACAGGTACGTTGATTAAAGGCTTTCAGCGTATAATGATCATCTTACCGAGTCTTTTTCTATCTAGCCAAAAAGCTTACAGTGAAGGTTTTTATGTAATGTACAAGGAAGGCTCGTAACTCGAAGTGGCCGTTTGAAATGAGAAGTCTACCAAATGGTGTTTTCTTTTTGGGACTACGAGTTTGCCTTCTGCTGCGGACCATTCGGAAAACGACCACAGCGGTTGTTTGGATGCGGGCATACCCACACAGAAAACAAATTTCGGGCGTAACGCTGCTACGAATTTGGCACCAACTTAGCACGTCCTGCCACCTGGGAATTTTCCGGAAAATACGCCCCCTCAACATTTCCTGCTGTGGTACGTCCCCTCCCTTCCTCTTTGCATCCCGCCTATCATCTCCCTGAACTTCTCCATTTTCCTCGTTTTTTTCAGTTTTTTTTTCAATGGAAATCAATAACGTAGAACATTTTCCACGAAGGCAGGTGTCTAACCCTCTCCCGCTTGGTGACTAAATTAGAAAAATTTGGGGAGATTCCATAGGACGATATAGCCTGGTGAAAATGATGTCATAATCGGTGACAGCTCAAAATCGCTCATTTTTTTTGCTGTGAACTAGCTATTTGTCCTGTCCGTATATGCGTACATTCAGGATCTGTATGCTATCTGCGTAGCTACCATCCGATGGACAGGTCAACACTCTCAGAATGGGTTCGTTTTTAGAAGTTCAAAAATGTCTCCAAATTGCTAAATTACTCGTCCTTTTGAAGGTCGGACAGATTTGTGTGGTGCTAGCGACAATTATTCTGTTCTTCATCCCTTGTCTCTTCGTTTATCTGGATGTGATTCTCGTTTATATTCATGTCTACTATTCAATGTGTCCCGCTGTACAATTACTGGTACGTTCCTAACATCTCTACACTCTTGATCTCTTTCGGAAAGAAGTTCTGCCTAATGTAGTATGCTTGCATAGAACCAGTATCAAAGTGCATCACTGGACGATCTAACGTGGATGCATAGCGAGTCACTAAGAACTACAGGGCAGCGATGTCAGCGCAATCTTGATGCTATCGAGGTTTGTTCCAATTTTCGAACTTTTACTCCAGGGCTGGCAAGAAAATTAGACAGGTA